CTACCAATCCAGAAGCAGACGAGATCATCTACCAAACGATATGTTTTATATTAAATAAAGGGAAGAACTTCCCACTAAACCAAATCCATGGCCTAAGGCCAAATGGAAAGATTGCAAAATCATATTCTAAAAAACAGGAATCGGCTTCGGCTCTCCTATGTCTTGTCTGCTTTGTCACTTATGTGGAAGCAGACGTTAAACACCAAGAACGAACGAACTTGGCGAAAAGTATATGATAATAATGTATTATGACGTGAAATGAAATGAAATGGGGTTTAACGTCCTACTGTTCTGCTCCTAACCTGTGCTAATGAAGACGGGCATACGCCATACAGTGTGCTATGAGGGAATTTTGCCCGGACAGCGGCACTACGGCCTACTCTTATATCGAATTCCAACTGCCAAGGGATCTTTTACGTGCACGCCAATGTGTACACGGGACCTCGGTTTTTCGTCCCATCCGAACGACTAGACAGCTTTCCTTGTCAGCCCCTCCGTCCTGCATCACTGACAAGGGAGAACCACGCCGGAAAATCTTGATGAACTTTCTCGGCAAATGCAGGGATCGAACACCCGACCTCCAGCTAGCGAGCTACCGTCTTACCCACTTAGCCACGTGATCCTCGTATTATGACGTATTAAAATAATATGGGTGGGAGGGGGGACACTGCGAAAGTCACAAAAGTGACAAATAGAACTTGCAACGGGAATCGAAAGTGCTTTCAAATCAGACATACGAAGCTCGTACTTGCCGCAAAAATGAAATGAACGCGACACAAGTCTCCGATGTCAGAGAATATTAGTAAAGTATAACCGCTATCAAATCCACACAAAAATCCAAGGCACTCATTTTATTTTAGAAAAGAATAACTGTAGGCTCGATAGAAGAGCCTATTCTTCATGAACCCCAAACCAGTCGTAACTGTCAACTTGTATGTTGTCATTCTCGTGCAGATTTGTTTGAATAACAGAAATGTCCCGTGTATCAAGATCAAAGAATAAAATCGCACGTAGCCACTCTTTGTTGTTTTTATGCGAATTCAATTAATCTAAAAGGGGCTTTGGCGCAATTTAAGGAATTATTTTTGAGCCAATATTAACCATCGCCAATTTTTTAAATCATGGGATAAAGTCAATTAACAAACAATACGGGTCTACTTTATTACAAAAACATTGGTGAACTTACCATTTTGTCTAAAATCATAAGGCTAATCAACAAACAATACTATTGTTCTTTATTACAAAAACATCGGTGAACTATATTGTTTTTGTACATATTGTATTTATTTATTGTCCCCCGCCTTTCGAAGAAAGCAGGGGACTATTAAAATGGGTTCGTCCGTCTGTCTGTCCGTCTGTCCGTCTGTCTGTCCGTCACACTTTTTGGGACACAATAACTCTCTTCCTAATTGAGCTAGAATGTTCAAACTTGGTGTATGTGTTTATTAGGTCAATGCCTTGATGGAGTTCGAAGATGAGCATTTTCCAATTAGGGTAAGCAGAGATAAGCAATTTGATTGGTTGATGCTTTGGGACACGATAACTCTCTTCCTAATTGGGCTAGAATGTTCAAACTTGGTGTATGTGTTGATTAGGTCAATGCCTTGATGGAGTTCGAAGATGAGCATTTTCCGCTTAGGGTAAGCAGAGATAAGCAATTTGATTGGTTGATGCTTTGGGACACGATAACTTTTAATTGAGCTAGAATGTTCAAACTTGGTGTATGTGTTTATTAGGTCAATGCCTTGATGGAGTTCGAAGATGAGCATTTTCCGCTTAGGGTAAGCAGAGATAAGCAATTTGATTGGTTGATACTTTGGGGCACGATAACTCTCTTCCTAATTGAGCTAGAATGTTCAAACTTGGTGTATGTGTTGATTAGGTCAATGCCTTGATGGAGTTCGAAGATGAGCATTTTCCGCTTAGGGTAAGCAGAGATAAGCAATTTGATTGGTTGATGCTTTGGGACCTGATAACTTTAGTTCTAATTAAAAGGGAGAGTGAGGACACTTGGTGTATAGCTTTATTATATCAATACCTTGACTAAGTCTCGATAATGAACATTTTCTGCTTAGGGTAAGCAGAGCGATAAGCAATTTGATTGGCCGAGACTTTGGAACACATTAACTCCTTTTCTAATTGAGCTAGAATGTGCAAACTTGGTGTAGGTGTTTTTTAGGTTAATGTCTTGATGGAGTTCGAAGATGAGCATTTTGTGCTTAGGTTAAGCAGAGATAAGCAATTTGATTGGTCGAGACTTTAGAACACAATAACTCTCATTCTAGTTGAGTTAGAATGTTCACACTTGGCATAGGTGGCTATTAGGTGAATGCCTTGATGGAGTGTGAAGATGAGAATTTTTTGCTTAGAGTAAGCAGGGATAAGCAATTTGATTGGCTGATGCTTTGGGACACGATAACTTTAGTTCTAATTAAGTGAGAGTGAGGACACTTGGTGTATAGCTTTATTATATCATTACCTTGACTAAGTTTGATAATGAGTATTTTCTGCTGTCATGTCATGGCTGAGTTCAATTATTAACATTGGTCGATGCTTTGGGACAAGATAACTTTGATTCTATCTGATAGAGAGTGCTGAAACTTAGTGTATAATTTGATTGCTCGATACTTTTGAAAAAAATAAATGTGCGATTAATTAATGTGTCATCTATTTATTTTGGGATTTCGGCGGGGGACATCAGCCTCACTGTTGGCTTGTTTGTTTGTACTATATGTTATACCAAAATACAAACTAAGTCGTCCTTAGGGTGTAACGGTGATATAATAATACGTTTTTTTAAATTGGATAAAAATTATGACCCTATAGGGTTCACAAGCTAAAAACGTGATTTTTCGTACAATCAGGGGCCATAATTCAGGAAGTTACGGTCCGATATGCGCGAATATCGAAAGGAACTGAGATCTTTGGGTTATAAACTTACATTTCAAGTTTCCACAAAATCGGATAAAAAGTGTGACCTCTATAGGGTCCACAACCTTGATATACCATATTTTTACGCTAGTTGAGAACGAATGGCTGCCATTTTGTCCGTCAATTTCAGGCCGATTTTCACGAAATACAAACTCAGTCGTCCTTAGGGTGTAACGGTGATATAATAATAACGTTTTTTTAAATCGGATAAAAATTATGACCTCTATAGGGTCGACAAGCTAAAAACGCAATTTTTCGAACAATCAGGGGCCATAATTCAGGAAGTTAAGGTCCGATATGCACGAATATCGAAAGGACCCAAAATCTTTGGGATATAAACATACATTTCAAGTTTCAACAAAATTAGATAAAAATTGTGACCTCTATAGCGCCCACAACCTTGATATACATGTACCATATTTTTACGCTAGTTGAGAACGAATGGCGGCCATTTTGTCTGTCAATTTTAGGCCGATTTTCACGAAATTCGAATTCAGTTGTCCTTAGGGTGTAACGGTGATATAATAATACGGTTTTTTAAATCGGATAAAAATTATGACCTCTATAAGGTCCACAAGCTAAAAACGCGATTTTTCGTACAATCAGGGCCCATAATTCAGGAAGTTACAGTCTGATATGCGCGAATATCGAAAGGAACCGAGATCTTTGGGTTATAAACTTACATTTCAAGTTTCAACAAAATCGGATAAAAATTGTGACCTCTATGGAGTCCACAACCTTGATACATTTTTAGGCCGTTATAAACATGACTAGGCCTACCATAGCCTATCAGTAACTGAGTAACCTACTTTTACTCTTTAGTCTTTAGAGAATAATTTTTTATTGGTCAATGTTATCTTCTGAGTAGAAAATAATATGTAAAAGCAGAATTCTAACAATAATGTAAGAATCGAATGCTGAGAACAATGATAATGAAACAACAGTTGTCCGTTTTTTAAAATTATGTGGTTGCTATGACAACCATCCAAAATCCTTAATAATTCACTAAAATTATACAATTCTTAATATTTTATATTACATGCCATGGGCTATAAATATATGCTAAAATGCTTTCTGCTACTATACTTAAAATGTGGTGATCAATTGGTTTGTCAGGGTAAACACCATTGAAAATGGAATAACATTGCCTTTTTTGGGGTGTTTGTTTTCGTTTTGATTGCTATAACAACCAAATATTAAGTAATATACAAGAGTAAAGATAAGTAATTTTAAAAATTCACAAACATAAATACATGTAAACAAAATTTCTGTTCAAGATCTTAATTCCTTCATATTTTATTTATATCTTAATAATGTCCAAAATAGACAATTAGCTGCTGCAGAATGTTCTTCAAAAGGGAACTCCTTTCCAGCTCTTGGGAGAAGACATATAAATATTCTGATTTTATTTATTTTTTAAAATCTTTTCCAATAGCTTCTGTTTTTAAAATCATACAGTTATCAATATTGATGTCATGATTATTGGAAAATAATGGTTTTCGGAAAAAAAATAAATGTAGTTGCTATGGTAACAGCCCAAACTCCTTCATATTTTTCTCAAACTTACACAATCCATATCATTTGATATTACATGGGTTTCAAATATTTTAAACTGCTTAATTTTAAATGTGGTGATGACCTTTTGGGTTATGGTAAATAGCGTTGAAAATGGTCAAAAATTGCATTTTTTTCCATTTTGGTTGCTATGACAACCAAAATTGATAATATATGGCAGATTGGAAATAAGTAATTTTAAAAATTCACAAACTTTTTGACATATTCCCATAATTTCACTTGTGTATCTCCATTCCTTCCTATTGCCAAAAAATAGGCAATTGTGTGCCGCGGAAAATTGTTCGAAAATGAACATATATCCAGCTCTTGAGAGAAGGCATATATATATTTTTACTCTTTTTTTTTTTATGTTAATCATACTTGATAGCTACTCATTATAAATTACATAACAACCAGGTTCAATATTTCAGATATAACAGTGTAATTATTACAAAAATGTGAAAATTGAAACATAATTAGGCTTAAAGTTGTATTTCATGAATTTACATCTTTACTTTTGATAGGTTTGATATGAAAAGAAATATGGCATCACAAAAAACACCAAAAATGGCTTTTTCAAAGTGTTGAAAAACCTTTCTTCCGCGAAAAGACAAAAAACACAACTTTGAGCCTCAATAAAAAAAAAAGTTTTCATCCGATTTTGAATCTGTAAAAAGTTTTGTGAGAAGAATGATGAGATCTACTTGAAAAGTTAATAAAATCAAATGTATAATCATAATCTCAAAATCACTTTTTCCACCTAATATAAGCCCCGACTTGTTTTCAGATCCCACAATCATATAGTGTACTTTTATAGTATGTAAATATTTATTGAATAGTGTCAGAAAAAACAAAACAAAACGGTGGTGATATTTTTATACGCCCACATTTTCATGTGGATGTACATGTATATTAGAGAGGTTTCGCAACTTTACATTTACAGTTACATTTAGACGGTAAAACGTGATCGGTTTTTGTGACGTATGACGTAAAGCGCACGTCATAAAAGTGTAGCAGACGGATAGCAGCCTCCATAAATGTAAGTTCACAACACTTAGCTAAACCTTGTTTAATTTCTATGATCAAGTCCATAATTGTTCTCTGAATCGTGGTTTTCACGAACTACATCCACAGAGAAGACCTTCTCCTATACAAAAAGGGAGAGGCCGAAACAAAACATGCATGCTTTAGTAATTCAACCATCTATCCGTGATGTGCTCTAGAACTGCCCATGACTATGGTGCTATGTAGGCCTATCGATATCATGGACCTGGCCTAGTCTGTGGCTACCTTGGGAAGACTTGGTTATCCTTCACACTCTCTTTTGCAGTGGAAGGAAACCGAAGAACTTGGAGAAATCTTACCATGTTGGTAGGGGACCCTAAATTTAGTATATTCTTGCCTCGTATAACTACAAACAAGCTTAGAAAACCACCACGCCACTTGACCCGATGACAGACATTATTTATACCCAGTCTTACTTTACTTACGGTGTCATTAACCACTAGTCATTATGATCTAGGCTAAAGCGCACGCGTTAGACACCCCCCCCCCCCCCCATGTTCTATTTCTTTGGCGTTACTAATAGGCCAAGTGGTAGTTCAAGTGCCGTAGGCTAGCCTAATGAAATACCTACTGCGCATGAAATCCATTTTATATTTTTCAGCAAAAGTAGATCATTTGCCCTCAACAACAGGACAAGAATGCCGTCGCCTTCATTCGATGAGCCCCAGAATGTTAGATTCTGGCCGGCGTTGGATATACTGTTACTTAAAGAAGTGATCTCGAGGAGACCGAACGACTCAAAGTCATGGGATTCGGTGGCAAAGAGCGTCAATGAGGTTCTGCAGATCATACGGCCAAATTCTCAAGTTTCAGTTAGAGCTTGCAGAAGTCGGAAGCAAGATTTATTGCAGAAATTTAATAAGGATGAGTTATCGTCATACAGAGCGTAAGTATAAGCCACTGGCAATACCATATTTTATTTGTTACTGTATGCTATCATGAAAATAAAACAAAAACTAGAATATGTGATGATATTATTTCGGAAGTAAGTCTAATGTAAGCGTTAGTTAAAATTTATTTGCCTTTTCATAATTCAATAATTTATTCCTTGGCAGATCCGGTACGGATGAAGAATATGGGGAGATTTAACAGAAATATGTAGTTTGGAAACTGAAGAGAAGGGAAAGGCTTCGGCATTAGATAGGAAGAAACAGGAACAGGGGGAAGACGTGAGACGACTGGCAATGCAGACTCTTTCTGGGACCAAACGCACATCTATGGAAACTGAGGGTAAACTTATGTTTTGTATTCGTCTGAAATCTATAGATTATTAATTTTTGAAAATGGTTTTCATTGTTGATAGAAATCAGATGAAGAAACAATTCTAATCATCTTTATGTATTTATTTTGTAGAAGATGACACTGTAACACCCACCAAAAAGAGAAAATCACACTCGTCAACACCAGCTGCAGACTACATCACGTTTCTTAGGGAGAAACACGCGGAGGAATCCAAGTTAAAATGGGAACAACTAGAGCTAGAAAAGAAGAAATTTGAATTGGAGAAAGTAGAGAGGGAGGCAAGACTACAAAGGGACCAGCAGATGATGGAATTATTAATAAGACTTACTCAGAATCAAAAGTGATAAATTATATATATTTATTTATTACACTCTAGTTTTGTATATATATTATAAAGCTCTATATCACAATTTGGTGTTTGTTTATTAAACCATCAGTTTCTTTCTAAATATTCTTCGATAGTAGGAGGTTGTAACTGGAAAAAACTGCTTGTTTGACTCCGATAAAGACACGTGTGGCAGTTGGAAATCAGTGCACCAACCAAGTAGTATTTGGCGACGGGTTGCAGCATGAGCTTCAAATTCTTTTTAAAGTCTAGGAAGGCAAACAAATTTATTATCTTTCCAAATTCCCATTCCACGCATTCTCTTACACTTGACATTTGAGAGTTGAAGTTATTTTCAGCCGCCGTAAGGGACACAGTAAATTATTCCTTACTGGATACGCAGATCTCCATATAATGCCAAAGACTGACCATTTGAAGTTTTAAAATCTTTGGTTTCTAACTGCTCTAGTAATCTAAGTTTTAAAAGTGCACAATCATGTCGCCTTCCCTCAACAGGTCCAAACATGTTTACAACGAGTCCATTAGAAGTGACTACCGACTGAAACTTGAGGGCATGGACGCGCTTGTGGCAGACTTTTTGATTCTCTCGTGGTCTACAGACAGCTCTGACAGTTCCATCAATAAAGCCAAATATATTGTCAAGTGGAGCCCTTTTCTCATGTATGGCAACCGAATACTCTCGTAACTTTTTTTCCCCTAACCATGGTTGATCTAAAGAACTCAGTAATTGACCAAATTCATTATAAATGAAGTCGAGAGTTGTATTTATGATCAAAGAGAGGGTTGATTTCGGCCTTCCAAATAATTTCTCAAGGTCCACAAGCCTATTAGGATAGACCGAACGCCGTAGCAAAATGCATAAAGCATCAACTCCATTTACCCGTGCCCGGTTTACACAAAACATCTCAACCGGGATATGAAGACTTGTGGCAAGACGGTGAATTCCATTCCTATCAAATCTGAAATGACACCTAATCTGTTCGTCTGAGAGGTTATTTAGGTTAAATCTTGGCCAGTCTGGATCGTAAGTTGAATTGGAGACATGGCTGCCAATACCAAATAGGATGACATAGTTTGAAGTCTCTTCATCATCATTTTCCAAGGCTAACCTTAAAATTTCGTCAGCGTCCATGTTCTCATGCCTATCGTCTGCTATTCTTAGTGTCGCCACCTACTAATTGTAACTGTAAGTGTGAATTTAGCGAAACGTCATAATGTACAGTTACACTTACACTTATCTAAATGTAAGCGTAACTGTTAAGCTGCGAAACCTCTCTATTGTCGTCGCCCCTGGACGTCCGTCCATCCGTCCGTCCGTCCACAATTGTTTGTGGACTCTCTACAGGTCACAATTCTTATCCGATTTTGACGAAACTTGAAATATAGGTTTATCCCCAAAAGATTTCAGCTGCTTTCGATATTGGCATGTATCGGATCGAAACTTCATGGATTATGGCCCCTGTTTGTACGAAAAATAACGTTTTTAGCTTGTGGACCCTATAGAGGTCACAATTTTTATCCGATTTTGTTGAAACTTGAAATGTAAGTTTATAACCCAAAGATCTCGGTTCCTTTGGATATTCGCACAAATCGGACCGTAACTTCCTGAATTATGGCCCCTGATTGTACAAAAAATCGCGTTTTTAGCTTGTGGACCCTATAGAGGTCATAATTTTTATTCGATTTAAAAAACCGTATTATTATATCACCGTTACACCCTAAAGATGGCTGAGTTTGAATTTCGTGAAAATCGGCCCAAAATTGACAGACGATTTAAATAAACGTATTATTATATCACCGTTACACCCTAAGGATGACTGAGTTCGAATTTTGTGAAACTCGGCGCAAAATTGACAGACAAAATGGACGCCGTTCGTTCTCAAATAGCGTAAAAATATGGTATATCAAGGTTGTGGACCCTATAGAGGTCACAATTTTTATACGCCCACATTTTCATGTGGACGTATTATGCCGTCGCCCCTGTCCGTCCGTCCACAATTGTTTGTGGACTCTCTACAGGTCACAATTCTTATCCGATTTCGACGAAACTTGAAATATAGGTTTATCCCCAAAAGATCTTGGCTGCTTTCGATATTGGCATGTATCAAGGTTGTGGACCCTATAGAGGTCACAATTTTTATCCGATTTTGTTGAAACTTGAAATGTAAGTTTATAACCCAAAGATCTCAGTTCCTTTCGATATTTGCCCATATCGGACAGTAACTTCCTGAATTATGGCCCCTGATTGTACGAAAAATCACGTTTTTAGCTTGTGGACCCTATAGAAGTCATTATTTTTATCCGATTTAAAAAAACGTTCTATTATATCACCGTTACACCCTAAGGATGACTGAGTTCGAATTTCGTGAAAATCGGCCCAAAATTGAAAGACAAAATGGCCGCCATTCGTTCCCAAATAGCGTAAGAATATGGTATATCAAGGTTGTGGACCCTATAGGGGTCACAATTTTTATCCGATTTTGTTGAAACTTGAAATGTAAGTTTATAACCCAAAGATCTCGGTTCCTTTCGATATTCGTGCATATCCGACCGTAACTTCCTGAATTATGGCCCCTGATTGTACGAAAAATCACGTTTTTAGCTTGTGGACCCTATAGAAGTCATAATTTTTATCCGATTTAAAAAACTGTTCTATTATATCACCGTTACACCCTAAGGATGATTGAGTTCGAATTTCGTGAAAATCGGCCCCAAATTGACCGACAAAATGGCCGCCATTCGTTCCCAAATAGCGTAAGAATATGGTATATCAAGGTTGTGGACCCTATAGAGGTCACAATTTTTATCCGATTTTGTTGAAACTTGAAATGTAAGTTTATAACCCAAAGATCTCGGTTCCTTTCGATATTCGTGCATATCGGACCGTAATTTCCTGAATTATGGCCCCTGATTGTACGAAAAATCGCGTTTTTAGCTTGTGGACCCTATAGAGGTCATAATTTTTATCCGATTTAAAAAACCATTCTATTTTATCACCGTTACACCCTAAGGATGATTGAATTCGAATTTCGTGAAAATCGGCCCAAAATTGACAGACAAAATGGCTGCCATTCGTTCCCAAATAGCGTAAGAATATGGTATATCAAGGTTGTGGACCCTATAGGGGTCACAATTTTTATCCGATTTTGTTGAAACTTGAAATGTAAGTTTTTAACCCAAAGATCTCGGTTCCTTTCGATATTCGTGCATATCGGACCGTAACTTCCTGAATTATGGCCCCTGATTGTATGAAAAATCACGTTTTTAGCTTGTGGACCCTATAGAAGTCATGATTTTTATCCGATTTAAAAAAACGTTCTATTATATCACCGTTACACCCTAAGGATGATTGAGTTTGAATCTCGTGAAAATCGGCCCAAAATTGACAGACAAAATGGCCGCCGTTCGTTCTGGAATAGCATAAGAATATGTTATATCAAGGTTGTGGACCCTATAGAGGTCACAATTTTTATCCGATTTTGTTGAAACTTGAAATGTAAGTTTATAACCCAAAGATCTTGGTTCCTTTCGATATTCGCACATATCGGACCTTAACTTCCTGAATTATGGCCCCTGATTGTACCAAAAATTGCGTTTTAATTTTTATCCGATTTAAAAAAACCGTATGATTATATCACCGTTACACCCTGAGTTCGAATTTCGTGAAAATCGGCCCAAAATTGACAGACAAAATGGCTGCCGTTCGTTCAGTTCCTTTCGATATATGCGCATATCGAATTGTAATTTCCTGAATTATGGCCCTTGATAGTAGGAAAAATCACTTTCTTGTTAGCTTGTTCTCTATCCATCTCTCGAAAATGTGGGATTATCCTGCCTGGCAGCCGCTAGTTATCCGATTCTGTTTAAACTTGAAATGTAAGTTTATAACCCAAAGATCTCGGTTCCTTTCAATATTTGCGCATATCGAATTGTAATTTCCTGAATTATGGCCCTAGATTGTAGGAAAAATCTTTCGTTTTAGCTTGTTCTCTATCCAACTCTCGAAAATGTGGGCGTATCCTGCCTGGCAGCCGCTGGTTTTTAAATTTGGCACAAAAATCAACCCTTATATCGCACCATGCCCCTTTAACTAATGCATGCTTTTTTGTTAGGCAATTTCCTTTGTACTCTTTGATGTGTACTCTTTGATGTGTTCTCTTTGATGTGAGTAATTGTCGCCTCAGTTACTATTAATAATCTAAATTCTGTCGGGACAAGTTTCCATTCATAAGAACTTGTTGTTAGGTGTTTTAGTGAAAGCGTCTTCTTCGATATGTTCATGGAAAAAATGAAAATTAATATTTGTTTCTGTGATAATTATTGGAAACGGAACAGGATTATTATTTAGTATATTTATCGTCTACTGTATAAATACGGTAGGCAGTTTGTGCGTTGCATTTATAAGTTCAAGTGTAAAGGGGTGAAGGCGCTATTTAAGACATGATATTTTTAAGTCATTTGCCGTTAACTAAAATGATTTGACATGTTGATCTGTTTTGCAATGTGGGAAATGGGGAATCTGTATCTTAAAGTCAAATACGAAACTGAAATAAGTAAACAGTCTTCCAGCTTCTATCCAATACATGACATTAAATTTGGGGGACATAAAATATATATTGAATGTTGGTTGCCGAATTGTCATTTTAATTGAATTATTGTTAAACTAAATATCGGGGAGAAAATATACCTTCCTCGCAAGTTATGCCAATTTGTTTATTTCTACGAGTACGAGTATCGTTAAATTCTTGTTCATAATTAAAACTGATAATACATGTAAATCGGTATTTAAAAAAATCTCCAGCATATTTTATGACATCCACGTGAAAATCGTTACCTACTAAATATGTTTATTGTCGTCCATTTTCAGACAATGTTATCAGAATTCACAGAACGTGGTTTCATTGTCTGCTTGTGGGATTAACTAATGACATCGAAAAATTGCTATTACGCCTGCACCCAAAATTTCTAGCGTGAAGCTCTGCTACAT